ATAGAATAGAATAGAATAGAATAGAATAGAATAGAATAGAATAGAATTCTTTATTGGGATTGGACACACAAGGAATTTGTCTTGGTGCATATGCTCTCAGTGTACATAAAAGAACAGATATTCATCAAGAGTCAAGAATCATAAGGTACAACACTTAATAATCGGGATAGGGTACAATAAGCAATCAAATCATACTAGGAAAACAGTCAATATAAATCGTAAGATTACAAGCGACAAAGTTACAGTCATACAGTCACAAGTGGGAGGGGACGGGTGATAAGGAGTGATGAGAAGGTTAATAATAATAGTAATGCAGACTTTGTAAATAGTTGGACAGTGTTGAGGGAATTATTTGTTTAGCAGAGTGATGGTGTTCGGGGGAAAATTATCCTTGTGTCTAGTTGTTCTGGTGTGCAGTGCTCTATAGCATCATTTGGAGGGTAGGAGTTGAAACAGTTTGTGTCCAGGACGTGAGGGGTCTGTAAATCACTTATCTGGAATGGTATAGGGTCTCTGCTTGAGCAGGCAGTTGGACTAGAAGACTTCCAAGGTCTCTTCCTACTCTGGTTCTGTTAAGGCACCACTACCTCAGCTTCTTGGCAGGTTTTCAAAAGATAAAATGAGGTTTGAGATTCTATTAAGCTAGTTGAAACTCTTCATATGCTTTGAATCTTACCAAAGTTATTCAAAAGTGCTTATTAAGTTTAATACTTCTGACTGGGATTGGAGATTCAATTCAACAGCATGATTTACAAGGCTCATCCTTTTCAGTGCTTTGTTCTGTATGTAATGTTTATTTATGTCTGAAGAACCGAGGTTGTTCAATAGAACTTAACTGGTAGAGTAATGATTCAGATGAATCTGACAGTGCTAGAGTGTCAGCTTTGGATCCACAATGTATTTGTATGAGCACATGTCCTTACAGTTACTAATGACACCAGGAGTGCCTCTTCTGATCTATTTATTATTATAAAAATGTTAGGTTCTAATATTATTTTATTAGGTCCCCAAAGCTTTCTGAGAAGTAATTCTATTTTTTTAAAATGGCAGGTAATGTATGGCCAATCTTTTTTTGTGCGTGTCTAGGGGAAACAAGTAATTGGGCTAGCCAACATTTTATCATGATATCAGAAATATATACTAGAGAGATGAAATGGAGTAATTAATTGCATATGGTATCTTATGATTTAACTATTGTATTAATATGATTGGGACGTTTAGAATTAATTGTGCATGGTAAAGGCACATTTTGTCTTTTAGAAACATTTGGGATCATTTCCATCTTGCAGTCGGTTACTTAGCAGTTGGTTACTTAATCCTTGAACTTACCTATTTATTTTCTCTGAAATATATTTTTACCGTAGTTCTTGAGAAAAGGTATTGTTTTTAGTCATATTCATTAAAAAGTGTTTTATAACTTGTCATGCCAATTGCAGTCATTATCTAAATTGCTAGCCCCAGGAAGCATTTAGTTGAAAATACTCATGACATCTCTCAGGATTTCAAAAGTGCCCACTTGTCTCAAAAAGTTGGGATGTCCTGTACACTATTTTGGCAAGACTTTTCTGACTGGCATTTTTCATAATTGTTTTCAACCTTCAGGATGACAAAATTGTTATTCCACTCACAGGTGATGGTGCTTTGAAGGGTGTTGTCATGATCAAAAGCAATAACTGTAACCTTATATGGTTGAGGATGAGCATCTTCTCCCTGATGACAATTAAAACAGCAGCATCTCACACACACAGAAACAAGGCCACAGAGAAGGAGGAGCCCACCAATGGCAACCACAAGCCTGGAAGTAAAGAACAAAGAAGAATCAGAACTCTTGCCATTTGTTCGTATAATGGAAAAACCTAACAAACTATAGTGTTATTATAAAACTGGAGATGCACAAAGTTCCCTAATAAACATTTTTTTTAGAATTTCTACAGAAGGCCTACACTAACTCCAGTACTGAATCAAATGGCTATCACTATCAACACTTCAGTTACATTAATTACTATCCATTTTTTCCCTCTCTCTCTCTCATGAATTCATTAGAGTACACACTGATAAAGAATATTCATGGCATACAAATACCTATATTAAAGTTTATCATAAGAGCAAATTGACCCACTAAACAGACACTTATTTTTCCTTCACCATCTCCTTCTTAGTGATCTTTGGCAAAAGAAAGACAATCTTATACAGAAGGTAAGAATCAAGGGGTCAAGAAAAATATACCTGTTTATGGAAGTCTGTTCTTTCCTCCGCTTGTGCTTTCCAGGTGCTCAGCTTCACATTTCCCAGGTTGCATTTCTGAGATACCAATCAGATCAACCTGCCTGATCTGCAGTTCTTTGCCCTAACTTGTTTCACTAACATTCCTAAGGCTCTGTCCTCCAATCCACCAAGCATTACTTCTTCTCTAGTTCTGATTTTCAAGAAACCTGAAAACTATGTACTATACAAGTATCCTTTACAACAATTCATTTAACAACTGTTTAAAGTATGATGGCACTGAAAAAATTACGTATGACCAGCTGTCACACTTAGAACTGTTGCAGCATTCCTGTGATCATACAATCAACATTTGGGTCTTGACAACCAGCATGAATCATGTGATCACCATTTGTAATCTTTCTGGGGTCTCTGACAATGTCAATGGAAGAAGCCAAATTCTCTTAATAACTGTATGATTTGCTTACTGACCATAGCAAAAAAGATATAAAGTTTGGCACAACTTAGTGACCATTCTGCTTAGTGGCAAATGTTCCAGTACCAATTGTCATAAGTTGAGGACTATTTGCACATTATTTTTTTTTACAGATTGGGTAAACTCTGAAAGGAGAAAGGAAGGAAGGAAAGGAGGAAAACTGCCTTTAGGGGATGTCAGTTTCTTCTTTTACAAGGGCTTTGTGTGGTCAGTAGCTGTTGTGATGTGAGATCATGACAGGTGAGGGTCCCATCAGGTCAGGGTCTTGTGATGGGTCAGATGTGAGTCACCAGTGAGAGTCTTATGATGGGTCTTGTAATGGGGAGGTTACATCAAGTGAGGGTCATTGGGAGGTGAAGTGCTGGGCTTGCATGGATTGGTTGAGGATCGGTGCTGTCTCTGGTTGGTTGTGTGATTGATTTGGATTCCGAGGCGGCTTGTAGACGGATTGTAGGTGTAAGGACCAGCCTCTCCCCCTCTTCAAAATATAAGTATGAACTCTTGAAAACTTGTATTTCAAAAGAAATCTTTTATTGAAGAGGGGTAAAGGAGGTCAAAATTCAAAGCAGGGTCTGGGGTCCCTCATGGCATGCAACTAAGATAAAGGGAATTAAAACCCTTCCCTTCACTCTGATGTGAACTCCATCAGTCTGCAGGTATGAACATTTTATTATCTCTGAGAAAGCAGATAAGGAAAGGTTCCCAGGAGTCATCTTCTGGTGCTGCAATCTACATGGCCTCTTCTCCCCTTACATCTCTTGAAGAGGTAAGACTTTTCTAGGCATCTGGGGCACCAGGCAATGGTTATAAATCGTGTAAAAGGTTATACAAAGCCAATGTAAGAAATAGGATATTTAGGATACATGGAGAGGAAAAGAATTAAATGTATCAAATGTACACTTCCCCCTCTTTTCTTTCATCGAAAAATGGCAGATACACGGATCTGACATATTGCCCTCCCTAAAAAAATGGGAGTTCCACCTGAAAGACATAAAGCATGTATTAGGATGGTTTGTGACGGTGTTTTAGGTGGAATTTATTTAACAAAGTGGGGGCTTTTACATGTTTTTTGGCTACCCATTCATTTTGGAAGGAGGGTAGGAGTTTCCATGCTACTAAGTATTGTATGGAGCCATGGTGAGCGCATGAGTCAAAAATTACCCCTTCCACCATAATGGGGGTTGGAGGTGTGGGAAGAGGAGTCTGATCTTTGAAGTGATTTCTGGTTTGAGTAGGCTGAAGTGAAATATTGGATGAACCTGTCTAAGTGTCTTAGGGAGTAGGAATTCTACAGCAATGGGGTTGATGATTCTGGTGATGGGAAATGGGCCAATTAATTTTGGCCCCAGTTTCTTAGAAGGTTGTAATGTTTGTAGGAACTTTGTAGATAAGTATACGTGGTCTCAAACCTTGAATGGTTTGGGTTCAGTGCATTTTTTTGTCAGCTTGAGCTTTAAAAGCAGCTCTGGCCTCTTGTAGGGCTAGTCTGACCACTGGCCAAGTGGTTTGTAAATTGCTTATCCACTCCTTAAGGGAAGGGATGTCAGGTTCCTTGATGCGTAGCTCTGGCATGGGGTTGAATTCTTGCCTTGTGGCTACTTGGAATAGTGTGAAACCAGTGCTACTGTGTACTGAGTTATTTTGCCTCAGCAAAAGGCAAAAGATCAGTCCAATTGTCCTGTTGGTAGTTTATAAAACATCTTAAATATAGTATGCCATTGGATCTCCCAGTCGAGCCATTCATCTGGGGGGTGATGGGAGGAGCTTAACCCCTGGATGGAGCCTAATAAGTTTAAAAACACCTGCCAAAATTTTGAAGTGAATTGTACACCCGTCTGAGATAATCCATTGGGGAGCTCCATGGAGGCAATAAATATGTACTATAAATATTTTTGCTAATGACTTGGCTGCTGGAATCTTCTGGCAGGACTTGTTTTGAAAATAGGTCCATTACAACCAAATTACAATGTTTCCTCTGCTTTCAGGGAACTCCACTATAAAATCCATAGAAATCTTTCTCCAGGGTGCTGAAGATTCTGTTTGTAGCACTCCTGGGGATTTTCCTTGTTGTCTTTTTGCAGCTGGTGCAGATAGGGCAGCTAGCAATATAGCTCTCAATGTTTTTTTTTTAAGGGATGGCCACCAGAATTGTCTTTTGATGAGGTGCAGGGTTTTTACAAATCCAAAATGTCCAGCTATTTTGGAGTTGTGGCATCATTTCATGAGGTCCAGTCTCTGGCTGGCAGGGACATAAAATTTGTTCTCTACCCAGGCTAGATCGTCTTTGAGTAAGCAAATATTTTTGTGAGCTTGGAGCCAGTCATCGTTAAGTGGTGCCTCCTTCAATTTGGAAGCCATTGCATTGTCAGCAAGTGTTTCTTTTTTTCCTTGTGCTCAGGTGATTACATTGGCTGCTAGTTCAGTTGCTTGGAATATGGGTTTAACAATTTCAATCTTTTTGCTGTTGTATTGGGGTTTCCTGGACAGGGCATTGGCCGAGAAGTTTTCTCCCCCTGGAGATATTTGAGAGTGAAATTAAAGCATTTAAAATATTGCACCCAACATAGTTGTTTGGGGAAGTTCGTGTGGAGTTTTCAAGGCTTCCAGATTTTTATGATCTGTCCAGACTTCGAAGGGGATTTTGTTCCCTTCTAGGAAATGTCTCCATGTGAGGAGGGCCTATCACACAGCATATGCCTTTTTCTCCCATATGGCCGATCTTTGCTCGTTTTCTGTCAATTTCTTGGAAGTATAATCACATGGTTGTAACTGTCCACATTCATTCTTTTGCAGTAGGATTGCTCCTACTGATACATCACTGGCATCTGCTTGGATGACAAATGGTTGCTCTGGGTCTGGGTGTTTTAGGATAGATTCTGCTGAGAATAATTGTTTAAGTTTTTCGAATGCTGCTTGGCATTCCATTGTCCAGGTAAAGGGTTGCCTTTGTTTTGATTTCCTTCCCTCTTTCATTTTCAACAAGTTCATAATGGGGAGGGCGATATTTGCAAAAGCCAGAACGAACTGATGGTAAAAGTTTGCAAAACCCAAAAAACTTTGTAGTTGTTTGCAATTTTGGTGTGCCTCCCAATTGATAATGGCTTTTATTTTTTGTGGGTCCATCTCTATTCCCAGATATCTTTGTATCCCAGATAGTCAATTTTTTCTTGGTGGAACTCACATTTAGAGTTTTGCATATAGTTTGGCATTTTGGAGTTTCTTGAGAACTGTCCAGACTAATTTTATGTGCTCTTCTTTTGTTTTGGTGTAGATTAAAATGACATTAAGATAAACTAGGACCCCTTTATACAAATGAACATGGAGCATCTCATTAATTAGTTGCATAAATTCGGCAGGGGCTCCTTGTAGTCCAAAAGGAAGTACTTTAAACTGGTAGCACCCCAGTGGGGTGTTGAAAGCAGTCTTCCACTCACCCCCTTTCCTAATTCTGATGCGATAGTATGCCTCTCATAGATCTAACTTTGAAAAAAAATTCCTTTAGAGAGGTGGGCTAGCATGTCCCTCATGAGGGGGAATGGATACATATTTTCCATGTTGATGGTATTCAGATTTCGGAAATCCAGTGTTCAACTACAGTGGGTGAGGGTTACTTTCCTGGCTCTTCCATCCCAGCTGTCTCTTTTTCTTATGCATTTAGACCATCTGGGCTTTGTGGAATTTTTGAAGAGAGCTTTGATGTCTTCAATGGGACATATGGAGCCGGTGTCAGGCTGGTTAGTTGTCGAGGTTTCTCCCCAGTACTCAGCTTCCCCTTGCTCACTGCTACATTTAGACATTGTTGCAAGGTTCCCTCAGTAGAGTAAAATTTTGGAAGAAAAAAAATTCTCTCTGTGTTGACCACTATTGCAGACCCTGCTTTATGTAAGGACCAGCCTCTCCTCCCTTCAAAATATAAGTATGAACTCTTGAAAACTTTGTATTTCAAAAGGAATATTTTATTGAAGAGGGGTGAAGGTCAAAATTCAAAGCAGGGTCTGGGGTCCCTTATGGCATGCAATTAAGATAAAAGGAATTAGAACCCCTCCCCTCAGTCCAGTGTGGATTCCACCCATCCGCAGGTGTGAACATGCTATTATCCCACCATCTCTGCGAAAACAGATAAGGAAAGGTTCCCAGGAGTTATATTCCAGTGCTGCAATCCACATGGGCTCTTCTCCCCTTATATCTTTCTAAAAGGTGAGACTTTTCCAGGCATCTGGGGTGCCAAGCAATGGTTATAAATCCTGTAAAAGGTTATACAAAGCCAATGTAAAAAATAGAATATTTAGGATACATGGAGAGGAAAAGAATTAAATGTATCAAATTCAACCCTGCTCCCTTTTATTCTATCGAAGAATGGCAGATATACAAATCTGACAGTAGGTCAATTTGTCTGTTGATGGAATTGTTCGTGGAATGCCAGGCCTTGATGAATTCATGAGCATAATGGTGGTAGTATGGCTGTTGATCATACCTACACCAGACCCATCACAAGACCCTAACCTGATGGGACCCTCATGGGACCCTCATACCCATACCAGACCCATCACAAGACTCTAACCTGATGGGACCATCATAAGACCTACTGACCACATGAAGCCCTTATAAACAGAAGAATACTAACATCCCCTAAACTCTGCTGAAGATGTTACCTAGGCTGGTAATGAAATGTTTGGAAATCAACCCACAAGCTTTGAAAACGAACCTTCACCCTCACACATATGCAAGTTATACATTCATCGCCTATCCTCTTGAATCTATTTGTAATACCTGAGTCTTAATTATATTAACATCATATAGAATTAGCATACTGATGAATCCTGGAGTGACATACCATTTCAGTATCAACTCATTCCTCTCAAAAGACACAAAAACCAATTTGCTAAGCTGATGCAGTTAGTTATGTTTATCTGGCCTAGTCATAACTAGGACCTCGATGTTTCCTTTAAGCTCAATCCTTCTCTGTGGTGCTGGTGAGAAATGTGTATTTGAGGGGTCCTTGATGCTCTCTGAGCTTGTTTGTTTTCTTGCAGACATTTCATTACCCAAGCTAGGTAATATTGTTAGTGCATCTTTAAATATGTACTTACAGATAAAAATAAGAGCTTTCAAGAATCCAAACAGGTAGATTCACCCTAAGGTAAATCCTAAGGCACGTGTCTCTCTCAAGCAGAGAGCAAGATTCCAGGATGCCACTCTCTTCCCCTATGCAACCTTAATTCCAAATAATTCTCTCTTCAAGAGAGTTTACAAAGGGCTGCTACCTTCTATTCTTATTCTCATTGGTCCTGTCTCTGTATACAAAAGAAATGTCTCATTTCCTCAAGTATATTCCTCATGCATATGTGGAACCAGGTTAGAAGTATAAAAATAGCTTCTTCAATTCCAGATCCAAAAGGAAAGCCAATGTATCTTTTTTGAAGTTTGGCAGAAAAGGACAGAATGCTCATAATATTCTTTCTACTTGATATCTTATAGAAGACGATTGTTCTTAATTTTATAAACAAACTAGGAAAACATAAATTTAGCTTCTAAAATTCTTTCTTACCTTTCTGGGTCATATGACTAAGGAGAGGGATGAGTTTAAGTATAACATAGAATAACAGGGTTGGAAAGGATTTTGGAAGTCTTTTAGTCCAACCTGCTGCTCAAACAGAAGACCCTAGGCCATTCTGGACAAATGGTTGTCCAATCTCTTCTTGTAAACCTCCAGTGATGAAGCACCCACAATTTCTGGAGGCAAACTGTTCCACTGATTAATTGTATCTTTCTTAATGACCTTCTTGTCCTGCCCTGTGATGTTTTAGAGGATATGTTGACCACACTTTCTCTGTGACAGCCCTTCAAGTACTGGAAGATGGGTGTCATGTCAGTATTGGAAGGTGTCAGTACTGGAAGACAGGTGTCACCCCAATCCTTTTTTTTTTAGGCTATACATATCCAGTTGCCTTGATCATGTGTATGTGTGGAGAAGTATTCCTAATTTTCTCTTTGTTATGGTTTATATTTGAGTTCATATTTGTATTGTTTCTATTATCATATTTTATATATTAAAAGTAAAGAAGTTCACTCAACAAATTCAAAGCATCATAAATGACATGGAATCTTTTCCCATTAACCTTACCAGATGTACCAGTGATGGACCCAGTTTGTGTTGGAACAGCTTTGGAAGTAAAAGGAGTTCAAGAAAATATTAATGTCAATAGAAATAGAGGGTTGATTTTTTTATTCTCACAATCAGATTATTATTTAGATGATTATTCTTGTCTTAATAACCCAGATATATGAAAAGATTCCACTGAAAGCATTTTGCTTTTGAGGGAATCTGAGATTTATTTATTTGTTTGTTTGTTTGCTTGTTTATTTATTTATTTATTGAATTTATATTGCCACCTATTCGCCCATGGTGACTCAAGGTGGCTTACAGAATGTAAAACTATATTTAAAATAAAAAGCAATAAAAACTAACAAAAAGAATCATATAAATTAATAAAGTACAATAGAACAAAATCTGAAAAAAAATCACCCCCAACTCCCACCCCACTCCCACCCTGATGACAATAGATCACATGAGCCATTTGATAGGCTCCATCCCGCTCTGGGTTCCCCAGGCCTGGTGGCAGAACCAGGTCTTCAGTATCTTCTGGAAGAGTATTAGAGAGAGGGCCATTCTAATCTCTGGGGGAATGATGTTCCAGAGAGAGGGAGCCACCATGCCCTTCTTCTGGATCCCACCAGGTATATCTCCCTCAGGGATGAGATCTGCAGCATTCCCTGCCTCCCCGCTCTAATGGGTCAGGTAGATGTGACCAACAAGAGAAGTTCCCTCAGGTAACCTGGTCCCAAGCCAAGAAGGGCTTTAAAGGTGACAACCAGCACCTTGAACTGCACCCAGAAGCAAATGAGCAACCAATGCATCTCCTCCAGGAGAGGTGAAACATGTACACAAAGCTATGTGGTCTGCTGCATTTTGCACCAATGGGAGCTTCTGGATGTTCTTCAAGGGCAGCCCCATGTAGAACGTATTGTAATAAGCAAGACGGGAAGTGACTAGGGCATGAGTGACTGAGTAGGGACCACTGGTCCAGGAAAGGGCGTAACTGGTGCACAACCCAGAGTTGCGCAAAGGCCCTCTTGGCCATGACTGCCACCTGCTCTTTGAGCAGGAATTGTGAGTCCAGGAAAACCCATAGATTACACACAGGGTCTGTTTGGGGTATGCCACCCCGTCTAAGACCAAAGATGGCAATTCTCCCTGAGTGAACGAATCTCAAACCCAGAGCCACTGGGTCTCGCAAGTGTTTAGTTTCAACCCATTGCTCCAGCCCCTAACAGCCTCCAGGCACTGCAAGAGGGAAGACACAGCAACACTTAACTCACCACGGGCCAAGACATAGAGCTGAGTATCATCAGCATATTGGTGATACCTCAGATTCAAATGTTATACATTGTGTTGTTTATTTACTTCATGCTATCCAAATACATTTATTAGTAAATTAGAAGCAATCAAAATCCCAAATGATCTTGATTGTACAACTCTATCTCTTTTGAAAGCACCAATTCAGGGGTGGGATTGTACCGGTTCGGACTGCTTCTATAGAAACGGTTGTTGTGATTCTGTGCAGTTCGGAGAACTGGCAAATCATGCCCCTAACTGGCCCACCCCTTTTCATCTTCCCCTCTCTGCCCAGTCAGTCCTTATCATGCATGCGCAACATCATGCACATGTCCAACATTGCTGACTGCATTCTCCCCCGCCCAGTCACTCCTTAAGATATTTCTTTTTTTCCCCCTCCTGGCGATCAGCTGTTCCGATGATCAACTGTGCCAGGATCCCCCTCACTGTCTTACACCCAGGAGGCTTCCCTGAGGTACAGGAGGCCCAAAAATGGAGCACAGGGGGTGCTCCATTTTTTGCCTTCCTGGGCCCCAAAATGACCCCCCCCCCGGAGGCTTCTCTGAGGCCCAGGACGAAAAAAAATTAACAGGGTGTGTGTGTGCTGCAAAAAAACCAACTATGCCTACCCAGTCACATGGCCACATCCACCTAGCCACACCCACAGAACCGGTTGTTAAAAAATTTGAATCCCACCCCAAGCCAATTATCCAATGTACTCTGGAAACAGAACTTTTAAATAGGATTTTATGAGGTGATAAGCAGATTTAAGGGGAACGACACTCACTCCCATTCTCCATGAGTGATGGCAGGCCAAACATAGGACTTGGGCACTTGTACTTTTTTCCAGTTGCTTTCTTTATACTCGTAGCATTAACTCCTACATTAGTTTCAATGTACTCCTGAGTGCCATCCAAAGCAACCAAAAGAGAAGTGCTCTTGCTAGTCCTTCTGTTATTTTTCCTAGGAAGTCTCTCTCTGAGTTCTGGTATTGAGTCTGTGTCTATTCCAGCCATCCCGAGTGCTATGCCTCTTTAACTTTTTGCAAAGTTTACAGTGCATCCTCAGGAGACCAGAACATTCAAGCTGCTTGAATAGGCTGAATGCCAGAATTCAAAACCAGCTCAATGATATGTTTTTCTAACCTTCTAAAAGCATATTAGGTCAACATAAAAAATAAGAAAGCTAAACTCCCTCAAACTCTGTAATTCAATATTGGAAAATATTCAGAATAATATATTAGATATGTTCCTTGTACAACAGTTGCATTTTAAAAGCCATACTTCTGCTGCTCAATCCTATGCATAATATATCTATCTTGATTTTAAAATTCTATCCCCACTTTCAGATGTGTACTTTCATTTCCAAATATAATCTGATACCCAGTAGCATCAATAAGAAAGTGGTGTGTGTATGTGAGGAGATGTGCTATGAAGAAATCCTATTAAAATGTTCTGTTTCCAGAATATATTGGACAATTAGCTGGTTTCAAGAGAGGTGAAGGTTATACAGTGTATAGGACTATAGAAAACCTAAAAATATTTAATGTGACAATTTTATGAATAATTATTAACATAAGAAATGAATGGACATTTTCAAAAAGGTTGGGTTTGGATATCTGTACTATTCTGAATATTCAAAGTCCTTGATGTTGGTGACTAAAGTTGGTGCCCTTTAGTATTTTCAACCAGGTTTAAAATATAAATCACATCTTCTTGAGAAGAATCTAATGATCCTACAAGTCTCATACTTAGGACGAATATTTTGATATGCTTGTGTGTGTGTGTGTATGTGTGAGCATTTTGCACAGATGTCTTCTTTAACTATCTTCTTGGAGTGAGGAGGCAATTGCTCTAATAATGTTCTTGTGTACCAGTCTAATAAAACTTCATAAAGTGACTGAGAGTGGTCTAATTTTTTCCATTCTTTAATTTTTTTGTAATCCATAGACACTTCTTTCTACTGCTTAAAGAATAAAGCCATGCATCTGCTCCAACTCTATCCAGGAACTGCAGACAGTTTAAGCCTTGTACCACTTGAGATATGTGGGGCTTTTTCAGTTGGAAAAATAAGGTTAGAAACCTTACAGATTTATAATATTATAAAAGTATAATGATCACCATACCAAATACGTTACTTGGTGGAGGTAAAGGAGGGACATAATTCTATTTTCTTACTCGCAATGAATTGTTTAAAAATACATTTTTGAAATTCTCAGTTCAGCTCATTCCTAAAATTATTCATAGTCTTTTCCCAAAAATCTATTCCATCCAAAAACTGAAGCAGTTTTTATCCATATATCTTAGATAGCTTATTGAAGTTATAAGAAATTGATGATACTCTGCATATACTCACAGATCATTGTTTGTACAATTCTCTTGCAGTTTCACCTGTGGAATCTTAAAAGAGAAAAGAATCAAAACAATGTCAAAATATTCTACTTTCTTTCATAGAAATCATAGGATCATAGGGCTGGAAAGGATCTTGGCATTTCCTAATCCACGCCCCTGCCAATCGTAGAAGATTTTTATCATCCTCTGGATAAATAGTTCTTCAATCTTTTCCTGAAGACCTGCAGCATCCATGACTTCAGGAGGCAAGCTGTTCTTTTTTTCATCCTCACAAAGTGAACCATTTTCTTGAACTGGTATAATATTCATAATTGTTTTCCTATCCTCATATAATTAAATATTTGACTTTTTTTCTTGCTGTTTAGCATAAGCAAGATAGGTTTTCTACATTTTATGCTACAAATATATGTCCTAAATCAGAATTCATTTCCTTTTGATTTTCCATCTCTTTTTATTTGTTACTTTGTAATCTAATACATCTTACCTGAGCCAGACATGCCAAAGCCGAGATGGTTGCCACTTGGGTACACTTGCCCATCATACGACGTGATTTTTCTTTTCCTTACCAAAAGTGGTGTTGCCACAATCTGTAGATCAAGCAAATCAACAATGAAATAGGCTTAAGACACAATGCTTTGCTTTTTCAGTCTGTATGTTTATGAAAGTAGTACAGTATTTTTTATTAACAGACATTCACAAAATGTACATGCTTTCTTGGTGTCTGTTCATATTTACCTCAGAAGCTGAATGGAAAAACCACAAAGTTGAAGAGGGAGCCAAATCACATTGCCCTTCAATGTTCCTGCTTATTTCTCATAGGTTTTTTTCTCCTGCCTCTGCCTCCTCTTTGAATACAGAGGTCTAGTTTACAATGAAAGTGGTAGAGTAGTGCCTCTTTCTTATGCTTTTTACCAGAGAATGCTCTTTCAAGGACAGGCTTTTATATTTGCAAAATAATTCAAAAACTACCATATTCTTATGAGATCTACCTAGTCATCCATGCTGCCAATGTCCAATGAAATGCTAAAATGTTAATCTGTAATAAACTGCTGCCATTTCAGTGATTGGCCTCATATAATTAATGTAATTTTTTTTTCAAATTATTTTCCCTCAAGCTGCTTAAACAGAATCTTGTAATAACTTGCTGTTTTCCATGGATATAACCACCATGATTGCAGTTAAATCTCCTGTGCTGTGCTGTTTATACATGTGCATGTATTGAGCTGGAAATATATGTACTACATCCCATTATTGAATAAATTGAAATATTTCTCAATAATCATTCACATTTTAATCAGGTTTATAGTTAACAATTTCCTTTGGGGCACGTAATACCTGTTCCGTGAAAGGCAAGTCAGTGTTGTATCAGAAAATTTGCTTGTGCTCAATTAGAACTATGTTGCATCAGCAGTTAAGCTGGTGAATCATTACTCTGACATAGTTTTCAAAGGCAGCAAGCAGAACCAATGGATTCTGGAGCACGGCAACCATTCTCAATTAGAGTTTTTTTTTAAAACAGGCAACTACAAACCTCATAGTGATTCATGCACCAAGCAGCATGTTTGTCAGATCTGTGTATCTGCCATTCTTCGATGGAAGAAAAGAGGAGGGGGGTTAATTCTTTTCTGCTTGATGTAATCAAAATATCCTAATTCTTTCGTTGAATCTGTATAACCTTTTACACAATTTATAACCATTGCCTGGTGCCCCAGATGCCTGGAAAATTCTTACCTCTTGGAGAGATGGTAAGAGAAGGGGCCATATAGATTCCAACTCTGGAAGAAAACTCTTGGGAACCTCTCCTTATCTGCTTTCTCAGAGACAAGGGGAAAATAACATGTTTGCATCTGCAGATTGGTAAAATCTACATTGGACTATGGGGACGGATTCCCTTTATCTGAGTTGCATGCTTTGAGGGTTATCAGACCCTGCTTTGAATGGTGATTTACTTTTTCCCTCTTCAATAAAGATTCCTTTTGAAATACAAGTTTTTCAAGAGTTCATACTTAATTTTGAAGGGGGGAGAGTCTGGTCCTTATAATGTTGGACATTTCACTAATCCAGAAAATGGCTATAATTTAGCAGCTTTGAAAAGAGGTCACTGGATCTTTACTATCATGTTTACAAACAAATACTGTAACGACGGGGTCCTTGGAGCTTTCTAAGCTTCGTTGTTTTCTTGAAGATGTTGTCAGAGTTCCGACTAACAAACCCAAGCAAATCAGAACTCTGAGATTTGAATCTTCCTCAAAGGACTTCTTTATTGGGTACATCATATTGGCACAATTAAGTGTAAAACCAACTATAAATGCTCCCCTATATAATTAAAATAGTAAATGAACCCCTCCGCAAGTGTCACAGGTCACATTGTCCAGTTAGGTTAATTGGCAGGTTTCTTAGCCACTCTACTCCGACTTCATCCGACACCTGTGGAAATGCTCTTAAGAGAGAGAGTTCATGGGAGAGTTCGTTATGTCTAGCAAAGCATTCCAGCCTTGTCCCTGCCTCCCACACTGTGTGGCAACTGTGAAACAAGAAAATGGCTTCTGCCAGGTTCAGTTTGAAGATGACAGATGTTTCATTATTCAACTAGACTACATCATCAGTGCTAGAAGAGAGTAGGGTTTGCACTCTTGTTTATTTACAAATGGCTTGTCCTTTCAGTGTTTGTGGTTTTATTTTATTTAGAGAAATTATATGGCCACCCATTCACTCTCATCAGGTAGCTTGCAAAAAAATAGAAATATACAACATACAACAATAAAACAGCTGAAGAGGTAGAAGATCTAACCCATATATTTTTGATTGCTGTTTGTATAAGGGGGTGAGAGATAACTACCTTGATCCACATATTAAATGTATGGCCCAGTGGGAGGCCCATTATTAAAACAACATACCTCATGTGTGGCCAGAATCAGAAAACGACATTTAATACAACATAATTTTTGACTAAAATGGTCCAGCTGAGATTGGCATTTGTGGGCCTGATTGGGTAGATTTCAGGGGTGATACAGAAATATAATTTTATGTCATTTTATTCTATTTTACATAATTATGTATTAAATTAATGTATTTTATCATGTAACTATTTTACCCTACTCTCATTTTAAATTGTTTGTTTGGAATATTATTGGTAATATTGGTAATTGTGTTTGAACCTGTAGGATGATATAGCCTATATGCTAATCAAAACAAGTGTGTTTGGGTGTGTATGTACACACACATGCACAGTAAAACTAATAACCCCACCCCTTTCCTGACAACAATAAATCAAACAAGCCACTTGATGGGCTCCATCCCACCCTTGTCCATTGGCAAAACCAGGCCTTTTGGGCCTTGTGAAAGAGTATCAAAATGGGAGCTAGCCTAATCTCTGTGGGGATGATGTTCCACCTAGAAGTACTTTTACTTCCTTAGGAGAGGGGACCTGCAATATTTATTTTTATTTATTTATTTGTTTGTTTGTTTATTTTGTCAAGCAATTATAAGATAACAGGTATAAGTATAAACATAGTTAGGGATACATGAAATGGATACATATAAGAAAAATAAAAAAGAAACAATAGGACAGGGATGGTAGGCATGTTGGTGCGCTTATGCACACCCCCTACAGACTTCTTAGGAAAGGGGTGAGGTCAATAGTAGACAGTCTAAGGTTAAAGTTTTTGGGGTTTGGGGAAGAAACCAAAGAGTCAGGTAGAGTATTCCAGACATTGACCACTCTGTTGCTGAAGTCGTATTTCCTGCAATCAAGTTTGGTGCGATTTACCTTGAGTTTATATCTATTGTGTGCTCTTGTATTGTTATGGTTGAAGCTGAAGTATTCATTGACAGGTAGGACACTGCAATGTATAATTTTATGTACAATACTTAGATCGGACCGAAGGTGGCGTAGTTCTAGGTTTTATTCCCTGCCTTCCTACTCTGGTGGGTCAGGGGGATGTAACTAGGAAGAGACAGTCCTTCAGATAACCTGGTCCAAGCCATGTAGGCCTTTAAAGGTGATAAGCAGCACTTTGAATTGTACCCAGAAGCAAACTGGCAATCAATGCAGCTTCTGCAGGAGTGATGAACGTGTGTATACTTGAGTCTGTACAAAATCCTGTGGGGTGCTTCAGGTTGAAACCAATTGGAGTTTCCAGTTACTTTTCAAGGGCAGCCCCATGTAGAGTGCATTGCAATAGTCAGGATGGGACATAACTAGGGTGTAAGTGACTCTGAGCAGAGATTGTTGGTCTAGGAAAGGGCATAACTGGTGTACAATCCACAGTTGTGCTAAGACTCTCCTGGCCAGATCATTGTTTGTACAATTCTCTTGCAGTTTCACCTGTGAAATCTTAAAAGAGAAAAGAATCAAAACAATGTCAAAATATTCTACTTTCTTTCATAGAAATCATAGGATCATAGGGCTGGAAAGGATCTTGGCATTTCCTAATCCATGCCCCTGCCAATTGTAGAAGATTTTTATCATCCTCTGGATAAATAGTTCTTCAATCTTTTCCTGAAGACCTGCAGCATCCATGACTTCAGGAGGCAAGCTGTTCTTTTTTTCATCCTCACAAAGTGAACCATTTTCTTGAACTGGTATAATATTCATAATTGTTTTCCTATCCTCATATAATTAAATATTTGACTTTTTTTCTAGCTGTTTAGCATAAGCAAGATAGGTTTTCTACATTTTATGCTACAAATCTACGTCCTAAATCAGAATTCATTTCCTTTTGATTTTCCATCTCTTTTTATTTTTATTTTCCTTACCAAAAGTGGTGTTGCCGCAGTCTGTAGATCAAGCAAATCAGCTATGAAATAGGCTTAAGACACAGTATTTTTTATTAACAGACATTCACAAAATGTACATGCTTTCTTGGTGTCTGTTCATATTTACCTCAGAAGCTGAATGGAAAAACCACAAAGTTGAAAAGGGAGCCAAATCACATTGTCCTTCAATGTTCCTGCTTATTTCTCATAGGTTTTTTTCTCTGCCTCTGCCTCCTCTTTGAAGACAGAGATCTAGTGTACAATGAAGGTGGTAGAGTAGTGCTTCTGGACCTGTTGCTTCCTATCAATACCAACTGAGAGTGGCCACAGAGAAAGGAAGCGAACCAGGACAACACAGAGCTCCCCATTCCCAACCTTGAAGCTACAATAGATATAAAGGCCTCTGAGAGGTTAAGCAGAACAAGGATGAACACATTACTCTTATCCCACTCCCAACATAGATCATCAAAAAGTGCAAGCAGTGCTGTTTCTGTCCCATATTCAGGCCTGAACCCTGAACTGGAAAGGGTCTAAATAATTCATTTCATCCAGGAAGATCTGGAACTGCTGTATAACCACCTTCTCAACAACCTTCCCCCCAAAGGGAAGATTGGAGACAAGATTGTGCTGAACTAACGTGAGTTTCTTTTTCTTTAGTCTACGAACAGCTGATTTTGCCACTATTTGGTGGCTTTACTCTTTGTTTTTTGAAGGAGAGTGTCATAGTTGACTTGCTACGCAGACCTGCTTGCAACCAGATAACAGTAACAGGAGCAGGGAGGAAAGGCATTGGAATGTAAGGGAAGCCTGGGAGGGAAATTTGGAATGCAAGTGTCTGACTGGAAGCCTGAGTCAGACCCAATACCTAAAGTCACCAGCTGGGAATGTCTGAGACAGACAGGCTGTTAGATAGATGGGTGAGGAAGGAGCCAGACTCAGGATTACAGGAAAACTCTTTATTTACAACCAGAACAAAAAAGCCAGCAAACCCGGCCAACTGTCCAACACTTCAGCCACTGAAGGGGAACTCATTCTTCCCACCAGTGGCTGAACCAATAAGTGGAGTCTTACGTCAGACTCCACCTTGCAAGTAACATAGGTTTATGTAAATGTAACATCATGCATATTTAAACACCACTCCCTTCTTGGTTCAGGCTGACCAAGTGCCACATACGCGGTAAACGTAGTCTTCCAGGTAGGCCGGGCTTCTGTGGGTGCGACTGGGCCTGTGTGGTTCATTTGTTCCCAAAGTGACAGCCTGAATGGACAGGTCTGCTGCTGCTCCAGACTCTGCCCCTGGAAACGCCTGGAAAGTTTTCGGGGGCATTGCGATTCTGTTGAGCTCGAGGCCTCAGAAGTACTACGCTGGACTCCTCCCCCTGCAGCTAAGTTTCCCATTGTTTTCCTTGGGGTTTCCCTTGCTAAACTGTATTTCTGTGGTGTTTGATCCTTCCTGAGTGTCGTTGTTGCAGGGGGTGTTTTGTGTTGCTCAGCTTCGGTTTGGGACTGAATTAGGTGGCCTCGCAGTTGGTCTATGTGCCTGTTCCATGTTTTTCCCCTTCTACCTCCAGTCTGTACGATCTAGGTCCAGTACTTTCAATTACTTTTGCCGGGACCCAGGTTTCCCCTCCCGTGTAGTTGTGTGTGTACACTGTGTCTCCCAGTGTGAATGTCCTGCATCTTCCTGTGGAGTCTAGGGGGTTGTCATTTGTGTAATTTGGATGGATTCTGTCTAGGGTAGACTTTAATTTCCTGTTCATAAGCATTTCTGCCGGGCTTTTATTTGTTGCTGCTCTGGGAGTTATGTGTTGGATTAACAGCCATTTGTCAATTTTCTCTTGCCATCACCAGAGCCTAATTTCTTTAGTAACTCTTTGCTTGTTCGGACCCTTTTTTCCTCCTGCCTGTTCAACGCCGGGTGTTCTGGCACAGATAAGGCATGCTGAATTCCTAGTTGGGTGAGAAAACTTTCAAATTGCTGTGCCATGAATTGTGGCCCATTATCTGACACCAGCACGTCGGGTAAACCGTGGGTGGTGAATAATTTCTGCAGCACTCTGATTGTAGCCTCAATCATGATGGATCTCATAATGACCACCTCTAACCATTTAGAATAGGCGTCGACCATGATTAAGAAAGTTTGCTCCTGGCAGGGTCCTGCAAAATCCATGTGTATGTGACCCCATGGTGCTGAGGGTTTATCTCATTTAAGGGTGGGGGCTGCAGGAGGGTTCGGTCAGGATACTTGACATGGTGAACATGTGGCCACCCAGGTTTCAATGTCTTTTTCTATCCCTGGCCACCAGATATAACTCCTCGCTAGGGCTTTCATTTTTACTATCCCTGAGTGCCCTTCATGTAGTAATTCTAGAGTTCTTTTCCTTAATGGTTGCGGTACCACTACCCTGTCTCCCTATAACAGACACCTCGTAATGCTGACAGCTCTAGCTGCCTGTTTTTAAAAGGTTTGAATTACTTCCCTTCTGACTTATCCAGCCACCCCGCCAGACCCAATTCAAAACACACGCCAATGTTTTATCTTTGCCGGTCAGTCTCATGATGTCCGTAGCTGTCACCAGACCCCGCTCAAGATGCTCTCCTAGTAATATAGGTGTTGCGGGAGCTGGATCTTCCACTAGATCTGGCAGGGGACACCTACTGAGTGTATCGGCATGTGCGATGTTCTTTCCTGGTCTATATAAAAGGCGATAGTCATATACTGCCAGGAAAAATGTCCATCTTAACCTACGAGGCAATAAAATATTGGGTGTGGGTTTGTTTCCAGATAAAATGCCAAGTAGCAGTTTGTGATCAATGACCAACTCGAAATGTCTGCCATAGAGGTATTTGTGAAAATGTTTTACCCCTGCTACGGTAGCGAGAGCTTCTTTATCTATCTGGCTGTAATTCCTTTTGGCTTTTGAAAGGGTTTTAGAGTAGTATGCTATGGGGGCTTCCTTTCCATTCAGTAGTCGATGGCTTAGGACTGCCCACACGTCATATGGTGATGTGTCGCATGTTAACTGAAACGGCAGGGTTTCGCAGTATTGTATTAAGACTGTGTCAGAAGTTAAAATGTCTTTTATTTTGAAAAATGCGGCATCTTTGGGGTGGGCACCTCCAGGACGCAGCCTTATCCAACAGTCTATGGAGAGGTTCTGCGACGGTTGCCTTCTGTGGTAAGAAGATATTATAAAAATGTAGTAAGCCCAAAAATGCTTGGAGTTCTCTTTTATTTTGTGGGGTGGGGGATTCTTTGATTGCCTTTAGTTTACTGTTTGTGGGTTGGATGCCTGATCGGTCAATTTGAAAACCCAAGAATTCAACAGTTTGGACGGCGATATGACATTTTTCCTTTTTTAATTTGAGCCCCTCTTCTTGAAACCCTTCCAATACTGCGCGGACCCTTTTTAAAAGTTGCAGTTTGTCCTCGGCTGAGATTATCATGTTGTCAAAATAAGGAATTACTCCTGGCAGGTTTTGTAACAGCCTTTTCATTATACTTTGGAAAAGACCTGGGGCTATACTAACTCCAAACTGCAGCCGGTTGCACTTGAATGCTCCCTTGTGGGTTACTATTGTTTGTGCCTCTGCAGTGGCTGCGTCCACAGGTAATTGTTGGTATGCCTGTGCTAGATTTAGCAAATTTAGCAAAAATTTTACCCTTGTCCAAAGAGTGCAGGTGTTGGACTACAGGTACTGGATATGCGCTCTGTTGCAGCGTGAGATTTAGGGTACTCTTGTAGTCTCCACAGATTCTTACTGACCCATCGGGCTTCACCGGGTCAGTATAGGGATCTCCCACCTCGCATGGTCTACTGGTTCTAGTATCCCTTGAGTTGCCAACTTATTTAATTGCTCTTCAACTTTTGGTCATAGTGCAAATGGAACTCTCCGGGCTTTCAGTCTGATCGGGGCTATATTGGGATCTAAATTAAAACTAATTGGGGTCCCCTTATACTTGCACAGATCACTGCTGAAAACATCCTGGAATTCCTTCTCCAATGCATCTAGGTCATTGTAGCCATCTGTTTTGGCTATTGTAGTTGAGAGGACACCAGAAAAGCTGATTTGTAAGGGCATGAACCATTCTCTTCCTGGGAGGCTGGGGAGGTCTCGGTCCACAATGGTCAGTGGTAGGGGTCCTTTAAAATCTCCATATTCCACATGACAGAATTTCTTTCCCAGGACCAGTATCTGGTAGCCTTGGTAGTCCTTTAGTATTATATGTTGTTGCAGGAGCTGGCTTCGATTGATGTGGGGGGTTTATCTTTTTAAGGGCTGTCCAGGAAATCATTGATATATATGACCCAGAGTCTACTTCCATTGGGCACAAGGTTCCATCAATGTTTATCTTGGTGATGAACTTCTTTGATTCCTTATTTTTGGTGTGAGCCATGCTGGTGTGAGTGTACCCCCCGATAGTGTGGTATGTTTCTTCTAGACAGTTGCCATCTTGCTTTTTGAATTTTGCACCACTCGTCCATCGTCCCTTGTATTGTCTGCTTGGAGAGTATGTCCTTAGGCTTGGGGAAAATACTCTGTGGGTCGGTCTGTTCGATAGTTGGGTGGATATGCAGGATTCTGCGATGTGCCCCTTTCTTTCGCATCACCTGCAGATCGCATCCCTAAACTGACAGGTAGCCCGGGGATGGTTTCCTCTGCAGCTTCCACAAAGTTTGTTCTCCTTGGCGGATTTGGGCTTGCTGGGTTTAACTTGGTGTACGTCTTCCTTTTCACTTTTGCTGCTGTTGGAACAGGTTGGACTGTCCGGTGTTCCCTTCGCAGCGCGGGTAGCGTGGACTTTTCTGATGTTTTTTACTCAGGCTGCCGAACTGTCAGAAGCTTCTGCAGTTTTCACTTCTTCTAGAGCCTCCTTGAACAGAACGCCCTCCCTTGCAAAAAGTTTATTTTGCAAGGTTAAATCTTTTAATCCAAGGACTAAACCATCTCAGATCATCTCTTCTGCATTTGAGAACTTGCAGTTTTTCCATAGTTTCCTTAAGGCAGTCACGAAGTCACTTATGGTTTCCCTGTTTTTTTGGCTCCTAGTGTAGAAATCATTTCTGTTTGCCAAACACAAAGGGGTAGGATCAAAATGTGCCTTCAGTGCTCATTGCATTTCATCCCAGGATTCATTTGTCAGATCATCTGCAACGAGGGCCTTGGTCAATTCGTAGAGTTCTGAATCACAATAGGTTAGGAAGTAAGCCTTCTTGTTTGTGTCGGATGTTGCCTGTATTCCGTTCCCTTGTAGATTTAAGTTGAATCTTCCCATGTATGAGGACAATTTCTATTTGGATGGCTCGAATGGGATTGATAGGGGTCGATGAGCCATGTCGCTTCTCTGTCGGTAGAGTTCATGAGTCAGTTAGAAGATGGTCGCGGTGCCCCACAAGGTCCTTTGTCTCCTTCAGTATCCCATCCTCATTGCCAGTGTTAGATAGCAGGTGAGGAAGGAGCCAGACTCAGGATTACAGGAAAACTATTTACAACCAGAACAAAAAAGCCAGCAAACGCAGCCAGCGCCAACACTTCAGCCACTGATGGGAGCTCATTCTTCCCGCCAGCAGCTGAACCAATAAGTGGAGTCTTACATCAGACTCCACTTTGCACGTTACGTAGGCTTACGTAAATGTCGTGTCATGTATATTCAACACAGACCATTTCCAAAACAAAGCAAGTGCGAATGATTGATGGACAATGAACAGTGCAAGGTCCAAGGAAAAAAGGGAAAAGTTTTCCTATGCTGTTTGCACACAAAATCATTAGAGGTGGCTTTTCTACTTCTGTACCCAAATGGAATCTTCAGTAAAGTTATACTCTTGGTAAAAAAAATGTTCCAGGACTTTCTTTTGCTGTCTAACCCAGTGGGACAGTTGACATTAAGCCAGTTCTCATAGAAATAGGCTTCCTGGATCCTACCAGGAGGTCAACACTGAGATGTCAGCTACAGGCAAAGACTCAGAAGAGAAGAAGAAACCAGGAGAGGCCTCGACTCAGGAAGAATTGGCAACCTCTCAGGCCAGAGCAGGAACACAACCAGCCAGTGTGCACCCAAAACCAAAGACCAAGAAGTCTGGGCAACCAGCCTCAGCCACAAAGGAGCGACTGAGGGATACCCTATTCCAGGGCCAAAGACCTGCTGGGCAACAAATGTGGACAAGGCAGTGGAGACCAAAGATTCCCTTCTCCCTTCAGTGGTCAACGTGTTTTGAGGTGGCAAGTGGAAAGCAAAATGGCTAGCCAAATGGGATGATCTCACTGTGGAAGCTCCTGGCCACTGGCTGCAGTCTGTCCATGGAACAGTTGATGGAGAAGTTGGGA